TATTAATTGAGTTTTGATTTTTTTTTAATGTACTATTATTTTTATAATATTAAAATGTTTATAAATTTAATTCGAGTTTAAAGCTAAAAGATTTAGTTCGTTTAAATTTGTTTTAAAATTAGAAAGGAAATCATACTTAAAGAATAATAATCTTATTTTTAAAATATTATTGACTATATTTTTAATTAAACCGTATTTGATAATTTTATATAATTATAGAAACAGTTTTTTTTATTAAATTACAGAAATATAATTCTATATCCCATCCGATAAGTTTCTTTTGAAGTGTTAGATCTTTATCTTCCTTAGGCAAATCATTAAGCTTTGAAATTAAAGCGGTTAATGTAGAAAAGGCAGTATCATAAAAAGTGAAACACTTTTTTAATGCAAATACTTTCAAATGTACATTCCCGTTAAATTATCTCGGAATGATATTAATAACATTATATTATAGTTACTTATGATGCAATGGGCAGTAAATTATAATTATCTGCGAATAAACTTTAGCCAATCATTAAATGAATAATGATTAACATTGCACTAATACTCTATAATTGTTCAAATACAGGACTATCTATAATATGTTAATATTATTTTTTCATAAAATTTGATTAAATATTTAAATGTTGAGTATATGTAACTTTCAATTTTTATTTACAGTAAAACCATAGTAGATAATATACTTGGTTTAAACTTAATTAACTATAAAAATGGTATGGGCTCCAATAATTTCGCATACCATACGAAAATTGTAATTGTTTGTTATGTGATTTTACGGGTTGTGTTTTTTAACAACAACTTGAACAGACTTTCATTTATTCCTAGTTATTGTGCTTTTGTAATATTAAGGTAGACATCAAATTACAATGGTACATTGTTTGAATTTAATGGGTACAGTACTATATCTACAAAGATTTCTGTGAATATATTTTTTACATTGTTGTGTCAATATTTAATCATAAATATAATGTTTACTATAAGTTTTGAACCTTAAGTTTTGTTGAGTAGTCAATAAACAACTAACCTCGATATTAGCATAATTTTAATGGTAAAAAAAAGTATGAAAATTCCGAGTGGGGGAGTACTATAAAGGGATTTAATATATTCTCAGGTATTGTTTTCATTTACAGTAAAATAAAACAATAAAAATGTTTTTTTCGTGCTATTAGCAAGAGCATCGATGGTGCGTTTTAAGTTGCTCTTCATTCCATTCAAAAAAACAAAATCAACTCCTTTGGGAAAAAACAAGGTCCAAAAAAAAAAAAACGTCTTTGATGATATAAAAAAATAAGTACTATAATATCAGGTTCGTGAATTTCTCGACATCTGAGTATCGTTTGTTACTTAACTGACGTCCGACTGACATTTGTTATGACTGTTGATTGGTTTATAAATTACTGTGTACGAGTTCGTCAGACTCTGTCAATGTTCTACTCACGATTGTTGCCCTCGTCAAACAATCCCTTAGTACTTCTACAGTCAATTACCTCAGATGACGTCGCCATAAAAGTCTCGATATCTCACGAAAGCAGACGCGGAGAACAATATGCGAATGTTCGACCTACGCCACAGTGAACATTAACGATGTACTTTTTTTCTTCATCTCTCCTCTCTTTCTGTCGGTGTTTATTATTTTCTTATTTTTCTCCTCTGATCCCACACAGCGCCGCTGTAGAGTGGGCCGTCATTATTTTATTATATGGTTTGCTGTTGTTACGCCATTGCAATTCATGTTTATGTCATGTGCTTAAAAGTATATATTTTTTAATTCCACAACATTACACTCACGGTGAATTATTTTTACAATTGAATTTTTGTGAGCTGTAAAGCAGTAGCGAAAAGCTTTCCTTTAATACCGTAATGTTTTTTAAAATGCAATGCGCTCTTGTAAAATATTATTCGAATTCACCGACAGCGTAGGAAATTTAGTTTATGCGAGACATTTTTTGCACCAAAACGGTTGAATTTTTTTCACGACTTTTTACTTACCTAAAATATCGCCTTTACCCGTATAACGTAAGGCTATTCAGATTCTATAAAGCATTATTATAAATTTAAAAATCGTGTCACAAGAATTATTTGTATGAAATATTAAATTTCTCATAAAATGTCATTTTACCTGAAAAGTCCTATTAAAACATATATATGTATAACATAATAAATACGCGAAAACATTATGTGTTGTTGGAGTTTCATAAAAAATCACAATTTTTCTCGTGATTTATTGTGAATATTTCTAAAGAATAAGGAAAATAATTTAAATATTAGTACATACATTCAAGCGTATGACATAGTTTTATTATTGCACTAACTTATTAAAAATTTTATTTTAAACATCATACATGAGCTAATCCATAACCTATCAAATATATTTTTTTTTTACCTTAGTTATCAAACACAATGTTTAATTTAATTGTTTAATTCAAACGCATTTGTTCATTAAACCTACAGTATTATTTTTAATATTTTTATTTCTGAAATTTACAATTAAACATATTAAATTTATAATTCAATATGTTTGGCGATATACTGAGTGTGTAATAATACTGTTTAATAATATGTGATTTTTAAATCGAAATAAATGTTCGCTTCTTTTTCTCTTATTTTCTCTATATCGTTATAAAAAAACATCATTCGAAGTGTTTAATTGTAAAACAGAAAAATACATTTTATTATTTTGGTATAAAACAGTTCGTAGAAGTATATGGAATAAATGTTAATCACCATAATTCTTAATAAACAAAAACTAAATTTACATCAAAGAGAAATCCAGTTAGATCATCTTTCATGTAGTTATGCAAAATAAAAATCGTTTTGATAAATATTTGTATGATTAGCATATATTTAAGAGGATAAACTTTATTAACAATTAACCCATGAGTTAAGTATGTCATTTGAAGTGTATAAAACTTTATAACGGTTGAGGCGTGACAACAATATTGTTACGTAGGATTAACAGACTGTGTTCATTTAACAGTACAAATCAATACAACGAAAGAATTACATTTGTTTAGTTTAGTTTACTAAAGGATGCAAATATTGTAGATAGGTAATATTATATTTGAGTAATCAACACGGGGTCAATTTATAACAGTGAAATTAGAATTTTAATGAATTTCATAATTAGTAAGAGATAATTATTCGAAATTAATAATACATTTGAAAATGAAAATCTAATCTTATCATTTTTCTAGTACAATTTTGTTCTTGTGTAATAATTGTCAAGAGCTGTGTATTTATAATATATTATAAATATTTATAGTTTATGCACTAGTTGGAATGTTAGGGCTTAAATAATCAAGTAATAAATTTTCCAAACATCTAGAAATTTTATAGTTTACGCCAAACTAAAACTAAAAAAAAATATATATATATTACTAGCAAAATAGAAATAGACACTAAAACTATAAAGCTAAATTATTTAAAACATATGCGTATCGCTATAACTTAAAAAAGTTATTTTATTTTCTATTTGAATATAATGCAGAAGGGACTAACACTATTATAAGTAAACTTTGGTATAAAGCGAAAAGTAAATGGTAAAACCTTTTTACACAAAAATATTTTGAGATATTCAAACACAACTCGAACATATATATATAAAAACATTTTTATTTGACTAATCTAATATAGTTACTGAATTATTTACACATTTACACAAATAAATGCCCATAAATTATAGTAAAAAAAAAACAATAGTACTTCGCTAGTTTACTTTATTAGACATAAGATAATTCTCAAGTTCTCAATTAAAATTTAATTAGTGCATGTTTTAATTTTATATTTTTTCGAAATTAACTATACAATAATTACACTTAAAAGGATATATTCTATTAAATTATTGATTCAATATTAAATAGCACATACTTTTACTCTTCTATATAAAATTATGAATTATACATAATAAAAAGTACTTTATTGCTTGTTACATAATTTTAATTCTAAATAGAAATAATAAAATTTTGTTGTTCACCATTTCATTTACTCATACATCGTTTGAGTGGAATAATTTACTCATAAGAAATTATTTTTTTGTTAATTTGAATTGACTTTCAATTAAAGTGATTATTATCAAACAACTTTATTGTTTGCTGAACTTAAATATAAAATTATAACAATGAAGTACCATCGCCTACACTCGAAATGCTTTGCAAACATAAAATAAAAGTTAATGGTTGTGAATGATATTAACACGAGTTCTATCAAAGTATTTGCATAATCTATAGAAAATATTCAAGTCAAAATTGAAATGTTGTTAATATTATTAATATAGATTATTTATTAATATTTTTAATAAATTGGCGTTTTTCCGGGCTACAAAAAAAAAAAGTTTGCACGAATGCAAATAAACTTTTAGATCNTACAAAAAGTTTGCACGAATGCAAATAAACTTTTATTATTCTGTCAAAACAAAAATACCTATTCAAATGTAATAGATCATCTTGATTTACTGTACGCAAACGTTAACACAGAATAATTTAATGAATGTGTGAAACCAAAATAGTCGTAATTTTAACTTAAAAAAAATGTTTATTCGACCGGAAAAACTTTTATGGAAAATAAACTAATTCCATCGGGTCTAATTAATTCTAAAAAATATATATGAATAATAAAAGTACTCGTGATCGTTAGTCTGACAGCTATACTTTAGCTGTAAATGATTCATCTGTGCTTCCCTTCCGGCACTGCGATATTCAAATTTAATTTTCGTGAAATTACATACAAATATGACGGAATGATTGATCTAGCAGCTTTGCTATTATGGTCGGACGTCAAGTCATAAATATAATGAATTAATTAATCCCTGGTGAACCGTAGAATTTTTTATCACCTCAACCACCGAGGGCCGAAATGAGTAGGGAAACAACAGTGTCAACTAGTGTATTATCTACCTTTAATGAGTTGTTTCATGGCCATAAGCCCCCAGAATAAGGAACACTATATTATTCCATGTTATCATCTTGCGCCCGTGGTATATAAACTTTCTCCATCTGCACCAGCGAGTTCTATACACCCGCGACTGTCTGATGTACACGTGTCGCGATTCTGTGATGTGACGCCGCATTGACTTATACGTCAAGTTTGTTGATTTTATAATAACCGTTTTTTTTTTATTTATATTGAATAAGAACAATAATATATACATCATCGACGGGGATTTTATTTGGAGTATCTTTTAACTAAAGGTTAGTTATGAACGTACATTTTTTAGTTTTCTATCGAAAATTATATATTTTTTTGGAATCCCGAAAAATGTTTTTTCCTTGAGAATTTACTAAAACGATCATTTAATGATATTTAGGCATTTAATTAAATTAACAGTAGAAAATTATTCTTAATTTTAATAATTTTTAATTATATTCAACTAATTGATAAAATATTTGTTTTATTTAGAATAATTGTTTAATATCTATAACATTTAATTAATGAATTTCGGAATTGGCAAAAGCCGTTTAATCTTAATTAAATTTTAACATATTGTAATCTAGACTCATTTTGCATTTTTTATATTGAGTAGTTAATAAATATTAATTTTCTATGACTTTTGTAAATAATTATAATTTTTTAATTACCGTCAGCAGCCATCTGATACTATAGATTAGTTAAAATAATAATAGAAAATATATTCATGTATAATAATACTTTAAAAAGGGTATAAAAAGTTATTAGCACGTTAACTTTAATTGATATTTTGGGTGGAATTTCTAATAAATTGGAACATGAAAGTATTATTACCATTTTTTGATAAATGAACCAAGCAAGCAATTAATGATACTAAAATGTTTGAGATACCAAGCTCGCTTTTAATCAATTTTTTTTTTCTTAAACTTATTATTATTTCATTTTCATTTTGTAATCATCAGCAATGCCCTAAAGCCGTTGTGTTAATTTTTTTATTCATTACTATTTAACAATGTATTAAAAAGTTACATAAAAAAAAGTTTAAGGTTTATACATAATGCTTAAGAAAACTATCAATAAAAATGTATTATTTAATCATTTTTTTTTGTACATCTTAAATTTTCTACTTTCTTTTCTTTGCGTGTACAACTTCCAACTAATATGATGAAACATAAAACGTTGCATTGTAAAATATAAACTATTTTCGGTAATTAAACCCTAAAAAAATTTAATGTCGCAGCTAAGAAAATTTTATTTGAAACATTTTGAATAACATTTTATTAGATTGCCCTGATTATCAAAATATTTTTATTACTAAATGATGTTTTACATTGTTTTGAAATCAAAACATTTGATTACATTATTTTTTTAAGTAAATCATTATACATTTCAGATAAGTTTTATATTTATTTTAGGACAGACGTAACGCGTTCACACGATACATTTCATTTTTAAGATTAATTAAAGCTATTGTATTATGTGAACATTGCTCAATATTGCCTATACGTACTTACATAGACTATTTCAAAAAGTGTCTTGTGTGAGAACTGTTTAAACATGACCGAATTTTAGAGCTTACGAACATTTTAGTAGATGCAAAATATTAAATTAATCTCAAACAACCGTGATTACATTAATTTCATTCGGTGTGTCGTCTATTGTTCTTTTTATTATTATGTAAAGTTTTACTTAATTTACACTTTAAATACCTTTACTGCAATCAAGTTATTATTAAATTCCATTGTCAAAAATAATTCGCTTGATGTTGTACATAATATACAACAAAAGTCTGATATGAAATATTATGATAGACAATTCTCGATTATTTGTCACTATTAAAAATAAAAAATCGACCTCAACAATGGTAGAAAAAAAAGAAATAGACTTTTTGTCACCCTTTTATCTCCAACTTTCACGTTTAACTACGTCTGTATCTGTTGGTGACACAAAAAATATATATCTACGTTAGTGGTTCAATAAATGAACGTCATGACGCCCTAACCAAACAAATTTATTTGTCAGACAAACATTTACAGATAAGAGAATTGATTTTTGCTCATTTTTTATGAGTTAAGTTTTGCTCAGTCATTGATTGAATAAGTCTATTTCATTATAAGCGATCGGATCTGTGAAATATTTGAAATACTATTTGCTCTATTTATTTTTTTATAACGCTATTTGTTGGCAATGCACGTCCTGATGTTACACAAAGTAAAAATATTTATGAGAGTTCTCAGGATCGTTATGTTTGTATTGTACCTACACATATAATACTAAGAAAACGTTTTTAGTGAGATCGTTTGAACGGTCTCACTGAACCACAACGCCCAAGATATTATCATTGATGTATACCAAATAAAAATTATACATATATAATATATATATATGTTTTTTTATATATTTAATCAATGATCCTTCGGCGATCATATTATATCATTTCTATTAAAAATGTAAATTCATAAGCGCTAAACACACTCTGTTCACAGCGCTGATGATGGTAACATTGTTCCCGAAATATGTATTCGCAATTTTAAAGCAATTTTTGTAACTTTTAAAATAAATATTTTTTAGTTTTAAATTAATATTTTAAATGTATTTTTTAGTTTTTAATATTAGCCACGAGTGATCAATTCTTCTTATATAAATGACAAAATAATTCGTAAGAAGACTGAATATAGATTCCGAGATAAGTTAGTTAAATACAAATCTGTGTCTAAGTATTAAAATGGGTTGATTTAACTTTTACGTTTAAATACTTTAGAAAAACGATCCGTGTTTAAAGCTTACACGAAACCATTTAACAAAGATTATCCGATTTGTATATTTAGTTTAGGTGTCGTACAAATAATTTAATAGATTCCGCATTTGGGTTTCTATGTTCTCTACTTTGATCGTTACTCCAGTATTTGGTGCTGTGAACATTTTAAAGACCATATTAAGCTTAAAAATAAGTAAACCAAACATACCAAAGATTAAATTACAAGTAAATTTATTTACATTAAATAGTTTGAAATTATCTTTCTGTATAATACGTCTGTACTTAATATAGTTACACCACGTAGCGACGTTTGAACTTAGTAAAATAGTATTCATTTTCGTAGGGTTTTTTATTGTTATCCTTATATATTCAAGTTCCGTACTAATTACTCGTTGTCCCTAGAAATGAATTGTATCCACTAAACTTTTTCTCTCTATTTGAGCCCTTTTAATGTTGCGCTTCAGGTGAACAATAAATTTGTTGCTGTCTCGTTTATTCACCACTATGAGCCCCCGCGGTGCATGCGATTTACTGTGTCAAAACAAATTTACTGAGTGTATAAATTCTATAGAAACAGTGGCACTATACCAACAACAATAGATAGACCGCTGAGCAAAAGTGATCACTCGGTTAACAAAAACAAACATGCAGCATGACATGGAAGCTGTTTATACCGGCAATGACATTAACCATAACCATAAATAGGTGTGAGGCTCCATAGTCATATTATTGTCACAAGTATTGAAGATAAATTCATGAACGGTCATTATTACAAAGTTTCATTTGACACATTTGTTTAAAACATTTTTTGTTCATCGCGAGTAACTTATTTTGATTTTGCTTTGTTTCAGGAATCCTCAAAACATCCACAATGTTGTGGAAATGGTTGCCCGTTTGTGTTCTAGCGGTTCTCGTACAGGTAAAATTTTGTTGATTTTATCATATTCGATTATATCTATACCTCAAGGGCGCAAATAAAAATAATAATCGGATACTTTTTAAATCAACCAAACATCGTGTATTTAGTTAAATTTTATATTAATGATTTATGTACGAACTTAAATCGACCAAAATTGTAATTAGAAACTTTTAATTATAATAACAAATTATTCGATAATAATGTCAAGAAAAATTTAAGTACATATACAGAGTGATCCATTTAACATTGACCAGCAAATATCTCAAAAACTATTTATTATTTTAATAATTTTTTTTTTTAATTATTTTAGTTACATAAAACTCTACATTTATCCATGATCAGATAATTTTTAGGTTCATCCCTTATGCCTTAAAAGGGTACCAACTTTTTTTTTTCAAATGGAAACATATATTTTTAGTTAGATATATTGATAGAGTTTTTTTTTTTTATAATTTTTAGCGTTTGAATTTTTCATTTAAGTCGATTAGTTTGCATGTTATTTCACTTTAAAGTTTTGATTTTTTTTATCTATATATATATATGTATAAAACGGGTAGACTTGTAATACAGGTAGTTAATTGCAGCGGTTATGATGGCTCGTAAAGACACATATTAGATAAGATAAGATATTTGCTGGTCAATGTTAAATGGATCACTCTGTATGTCATCTCTTCAATTTCACACCTATTATAATTGCGAATTAAATATTATTTAAATTGACATTTAATTTGACTAAATATAGAGCTGAGTAGTTACCAGTAATATTGTTTATAGCTGTATGGAGGAGCGTTGTCAGTGAAATGTGAAATTTTGGAATTAACATACTGCACAAATTTATATATTGTTGTATAAAGTGATGTAATATAATACCGAAGAGTTGATGGTGTCTAATTAATTAATTTTGTTACGATGACTTAATGAAAAACTTAAACACTAGTTATTTTTCAGTGGAAAGTAAAAAAAAATTAAAAGTAATACATACTCAATTTTAAGTTGTGTTAATTGAAAATGATATTACACGTCGTTCAAGTATGGGCTTTTAATAGAAATGTCGTGAATATGAGGATGTAAGTGGAATACGTTAATTCGACATTGAACGTCGTTCTAAAATAAACAAAAGCGTACTTTTGGACGAGGAAAAAAATCTATTAATTGCTCTTATCTCGACAGAGATGCGTTTTTTGAAAGAATGTAAAATAATAAATTTTTTATTTTAATATCACCCAAAAAATAATAATAAATTGTTTCCGCATCATAAAAAACATTTTGCTCTCTTAATTACTCATTAAGAGGTATAAAAAATAAATAGGGCTCGTTATAGGTATTTGACATTAATTCTTCACCTTTATCCGTGAAATTTATGACATTTTTCTTAAACTCCCATATTTAATCACCATGTGTTATTACATTATTAAACAATAATTTTCACTCTACTCAGTAGTTCCATTTTTTAAAAATATTTAGAATTTTCATTAGGTAAACATGTAGATATTTACGGTTATAAAGTTCAAGGAATGAGTTCTAAACTAAATTATAAACAAATTTATAGCCATTTAATTTTATTGGTTATAGAAGTTATGTTTTTGAGACAAATTATATCTCAGAATCATTTGTAAAGATGAGTAGGTCGAGGACATATTTTCAAATAAAAAACATCGATAACCTTATGATTATTAAATTTTTTACTCTTTAAGCGATTTATGAATAGTATTTAAATTAAATTACGAGATTATAGTCTGCCTTGAGTCATTGATTGATGATTTTTGTTAAATTTTTTTCTAACAACATATTTAATGTTGCTGAAATGCTAGAGACATATGGCTGTTAAATGTTATATTTGTCCAATGATATTTCTAAAAAACGTTCTTGTATTCCGTGAACTTTGAACTGGACAACACAACATGCGCGTTAACGAGAACCGATTATCATTGCGAGACGTAACCAGCACTTGTTATACAATTGGTTTGTACAACAATTGATTCATTGCATTACTATAGAGCGTGTCCTTAGATGTACTACTCATGGTGCTAATTATTACAATAACGCGAATCCGAAACGCCTCCCATTTCCGATTACAGACATTCTTTGCTTTCGCTTTTCCCTTACAATATATGCCGCCCAAGCAATCCTTTGTTAAAGATAATTTATCAATTTTAATTATATGAGACATTTATTATTGTAAAACTGTACAGAATATTTGGAAACCCTTGTTGTAATTAATTTCACTATACGTTTAATCATTGAACATTTCTAAAAATGTTTTACACCGAAGAAACATACCTTATTTATTAATGTAACTTAAAGTAAACATTTAAAAAAAAAAAAATACATATATATATATGTATTTCTCTTTTTTATATAGCTTAGCTGACATTTATCTAAATGGTATCCTAGCAAAAATTTGTTTCACTTTACGAGTAAAAGTTCTCATTTTGTTTGTTAAAAGTCTAAATGAACAATTAAATTGTCAAAATTAGCATTCTAGAATGGTTAGGAGTATAATTACTTTGAACAGTGATGTGGTCGAAACTTTATACTGAAAATTTAGTTCAATAATGAATTTTCGCATAATTTAAATAATACACGAATAAATTTGCACGCATATTTCGTTTTTTAATAGATAATTCTACACACGAGTCACGAGTGCGTTTATCTGTTTATTCAATGCAAATAATTATCTAAAGAGTCTTTCTAGCATGAAATTAATTTAAATTGCAATAAATCATACGTATTGAATTGCATCACTTGCTAAAAGAATAAAACGAGAGCAGTAATTAATATTTTTATGCATGAAAAAAGAAAACAGAGAGATTAAAATAGTCACGTTTAGAGAAATTATTTTTAATTATAAACATAAATATTTTAATAAATGATAATAGTTTTATTGAGATTCGTGGGCGATAACGTGTAAAGACATTGACGGGAAAATCATCAGCCATAGCATTTTACATTTTTCGTACTTCGATGTAATTCTTAATTTGGCAAAAATTATAAACGGAGATTTGCATAATAATGTTATAAGTATGATTTATGTCTTTGTATTATAATTGTGCAATTTACATATTAATAAGAGCTTAAATCTTAAAGAAAATGAAGAAGTAATTTTCTGGATGATGAACAATAGGTATTCACGGTAATGTACTTTACATTTCAGTTAACACATATTTAACCACCGGGGAATTGCTTTTTAAGAGTACTGTCATTACTTTAGGGTTGGAAATATATTTATGTAAAAAGTTTTATACTTCACAAGAATAAAATGTATAATATGTATCAAAAGACATATAGAAATTCTTTTAACACATTAGGGAAAAAAGTGTTGAGTTAAAAAATATACTTTATTATTATTTAGTATTATCAGAAAATGTTTTTCAGTAACATCTTAGATATAGAAGATGATTTTTTTAACGCTAACAAATAAATTACTTTTAAAATAATATAATCTTGTTAAGAAAATTAACTTGTGGTTTCATTAGTTTTATATATTTCTCAATTTATCAGTTATTAGTTACTTTTTTAATTCATCCCTTTTACCTTATAAGGATGTCAACTTTATTTTTTTAATTTAGTTACATAGATATTTAACTATTTCATAAAATAAAAAATGATATAATTAAAAATATAACCGGTCGATAACAACTTTTGAAATGATTCGGCAGTTACTATTGTTTTAAAAATACTGAAGGTGATGTGCGAGTATGACAATATTTATTATTAGACACTTTTTAGCCTCTCTTTTCATCTAGACAAAAAGTATTAATAACATTCAAAGTACTTATCTTATTTTAATCAAGTGGATAGCTTTAAAAAAAACCCTGACAACAATTGAGAAAAACAAAACATAATAACGAATTTTAACAGTAAAAAATTATTAAAACTTAAATTAATATCTATCTTTAATATCATATTGATTACAGCAGAACAAACAGAAGTTATTGAATTACTGTTTGGCAATAATAAATTAGCTAAAGATAATATATCGTTTAATAAGATTTTTTGAATTTTTACCAAAAACTTGTCTTTTTGTATAGTATTCCTAGAATTTATTGTAAAATTTTACAGCTATATTAAAAATGGATAAACAAATTTATTATTAATTAATTTATCAAAAAACATAATGTTAAAATATTTTTCACGTTAAATTAAAGTAAAAATATTAAGGAAATTAACAATTTTAGATACTTTTAAAAATATAATAAAGAATAATAGAGTTAGGTATTCATAAATAACACATTTCAATTATAAACGAGCAGTTCAATAGTAAACAGATTTTAATGTTCATTTGTTACTGAAATTAGGATAAAAATGTAAAATTTGAGAATGGCTCTTTCTAATTTTATAAATTAAAGTATAATCGTAAATAAACACAAATTTGAAATATGTATTCAGGAAGATCATTTTTTTATTTTATTTTTACCTTATTGAACAATTGTATTTTATTCAAATATTTACACAGCCATGACGTTCTTTTAACCGTTACGCGCAATTTTGTTTAAATCATCAACACAAGGTACTATGCTAACAAAGAATTTACACCAATGCCCAAAACGTATACAACAATTTATAGTTGAACGAATATTTTTCCATGCTAATTATTTATTATTTAATAATAGCCCACTTATTAGTTCTAAACTTAAATAAAACGTAAATTATTTTTATGGCAAACATGTCGCAAACGCAAGACTACACAGGAGTTTATGGGGACTTTTTTGAAATGTGTCACCCGTAGCTCATTAATAATTTGATATTGACATTGCACAATTATTCAACTATGGTAAATCGCTTCAAATATTGCGACATTTGAAAGAGAACGCATAGATTCCAAAGATGGGTCCTACCGTATAAGAATAACGAATTATCATGGCCGGGTCACTGACAAGACCTAAACCAAACGGATGACAACGACATTTGACTGGTCTAAGTGATTACGGATGAAGTGAATAATGATGATTACCAAACAATCAGACACCTTTAATGCATTAAGAATAATTTACTATAGT